AGGCATCAAATTGAAGAATCAGAGGACCATCCAGAGACTTGTACCCACACCGTTTTTGATACTTGATATGTAAACTGTAGACACTTAAATTTTGATAAATATTGATTATTTATCAATATTAGTATATTTGAATATATTTCAAATATTTTGGATAATATTGATATTATCTAATTTGTTAATTAGATAATATCAAAAGAGTTTGAGCTTATCAAAACTCTCTATCCTACAACTATAAATAGTGCATTTCATTTCTATGTAATCACACACATCCTAGAAAAAGTGATGTAAACATCTAGAAAAATATTATTCAGGATCACATAAAAATGTGATACTGAAAGTAGAACCTCCTCCTTAATGATCATGCCTATGCCTATTGATCCAAACCTCCATTGAAGATCAAGCCATTTGAATCCGGAGGCCCTTCAAGAGGAACAAGCTATATATTCAAGCCCTTCTTTGAAGATCAAGCCACTTGAAACCCGGAGGCCCTTCAATGGTGGAGTGTTCAAGACATCAATTGAAGAATCAGAGGATCATCCAGAGACTTGTACCGACACCCCCTTGATACTTGATATGTAATTCAGAATTTTGAATACTAATATATAATTCAATTTTCTTTGTTCACAAATTAATTTGTGAACAAAGAAAATTGAATATATATTTAGAAATTCAAAGTTCTGGTTTACATATCAAGTATCAAAAACGGTGTGGGTACAAGTCTCTGGATGGTCATCTGATTCTTCAATTTGATGCCTTGAACACTCCACCATTGAAGGGCCTCCGGGTTTCAAGTGGCTTGATCTTCAAAGAAGGGCTTGTATATATAGCTTGTTCTTCTTGAAGGGCCTCCGGGTTCAAATGGCTTGATCTTCAATAGAGGTTTGGATCAACATGCATCAACATATGGAGGAGGAGGGGCTTTTACTTTCAGGATCACATTTTTATTGTGATCTCTGAATACTTTCTATGATTTTTCCTAGGATGTGTGAATACATAGAAATGAAAGGCCCTATTTATAGCTGTAGGATACAGAGTTTTGATAAGCTCAAACTCTTTTGATATTATCTAATTAAACAAATTAGATAATATCAATATTATCCAAAATATTTCAAATATATTCAAATATACTAATATTGATAAATAATCAATATTTATCAAAATTTAAGTGTCTACAAATGCCCCCTCGAGACTTGCTTGTATACCACTTGAGAGCATATAATACTCGAAAGTATGTAGTGCAAGAAAATCTCGACACTACAACTTAAAGATATAAGGCCGTTTCAACTCGTGCCAAGGAGCCTTTAAAGATATGAAGCCGTTTAAACTCGTGCCAAGGAGTCTGAATATAAGGCCGTTTAAACTCGTGCCAAGGAGTCTCATTTAGCTTCCTCCGTTTCAAATTTCATACGGGGTTTGCCCCCTTATCGGCTGAAAATGCCTATGAAGAGATTAGAGGCAGAGCTGTCCCACTGGGCGTGCCAATTTGTGAACAAAGAAAATTGAATTATATTTAGAAATTCAAAATTCTGGTTACATTGTATAAATCAAGTATCAAGGGGGTGTGGGTACAAGTCTCTGGATGATCCTCTGATTCTTCAATTGATGTCTTGAACACTCCACCATTGAAGGGCCTCCGGGTTTCAAGTGGCTTGATCTTCAAAGAAGGGCTTGAATATATAGCTTGTTCCTCTTGAAGGGCCTCCGGATTCAAATGGCTTGATCTTCAATGGAGGTTTGGATCAATAGGCATAGGCATGATCATTAAGGAGGAGGTTCTACTTTCAGTATCACATTTTTATGTGATCCTGAATAATATTTTTCTAGATGTTTACATCACTTTTTCTAGGATGTGTGTGATTACATAGAAATGAAATGCACTATTTATAGTTGTAGGATAGAGAGTTTTGATAAGCTCAAACTCTTTTGATATTATCTAATTAACAAATTAGATAATATCAATATTATCCAAAATATTTGAAATATATTCAAATATACTAATATTGATAAATAATCAATATTTATCAAAATTTAAGTGTCTACAGTATTCTTTGTTCTTATCGACTCCGCCTAGGATCGAACCTTCCCCCACCACAACAGTCGCGTTCTGCTAGACTTAAAGTTGTCACATACGAACAGTCGCATTCGTTTAAGAATTTGCTATTTAAATCCACCATTATTCTCGACTCAAACCTGTCTCCTTCAAACACATTTTTGCTTTTCTACTCTACCTTGTAAAGAGAGTTTCAATGGCAGCCGAACCCCACACCGAAGTAGTTGGAAACCAACTCCGCATAGGACTGCGCTGGAATTTAATTAGGGTTCGAGTGCTACGAGTTGTTCGCTTGCCAGAAACTAAAGGTTCTGAAAGAATTCGATCTATAGAGTGTGTACTTCACGATGTAGAGGTATTATTTTTGTTTAGTGTAATATAAATCTTACGGAGTAATATTTTATATTTATAAAATATACTGTTGATGCATATGTTTTTTGTGTTTTTTTTTTTGTTTTTAAATAATTTCAGGGGACTTTTATTCATATGCACATTCCACAACCGTTTGCGCAAAGGCGCGGCAACAGATTTGTGGAAGGAAAAGCTTATCTACTCATTAGATTTGAGGTGGCCTATAGTACCTACAGAAACAAGACCTCTAGTCTCTGGTATATGCTGATGTTCTGTGAGAGAACTGGGGCAATATTACTGAAAGACGATGCTGAGTTCCCAACATATTCTTATGACCGAGAAGATTATGATTTTGATCAAGAGGTGATCTACTGCATACTTACATTGTTCCCCCCCCCCCCCCCCCTTTTTTACATATATAATTTTATTGATGTATTTACTGTTTAGTAACTTTCACGATTTGATGGATGAACAGGTTCCTGACGCTCCTGTTGGAAACTTGGCTAATGAGGATGTAATCAATGAGGAGGCTGCGTAATAAGGATGAATATTGACTAAAATATCAAGATTTTTATGCGTATTATGTGACGACTTGTTGTTATTTTCGTCATACAATTTATGAATTAATAAAATTTATATATTATCATTTTATGTCTATTATGTGATCTATTATGTTATCATTAACGCATATTCTACTTGCTTTTCTTTTTTTTTAATAAAATATAATAAACGCATCCTAGAATGATATTCCACGCACTTTAATTGGTTTCGCGATGCACATTAAACTTTTGTATTTATAAATAAAATATAATAAACGCATCTTATAATGATATTTCGCGCACTTTAATTTGTTTCCCAACACACATTAAACTGTTGGATTTATTAATAATATATAATAATCGCATATTAGATTGATATTTCGCGCACTTTAATTGTTTTCACGACGCACATTAAACTTTTGGCTTTAAAAAATCATTTATTTCGATGCAAATTAATTAAATTTATATTTACACGCATGTTGTTCTTGTATCATTTTGTCTGCAAATTATTTCATAATCAAATAAACGCACTTTAAGTTTTCTAGTCGCGCATATTAGAATTATCTTTAACGCATCGTATATTAACTAATAATTAAACGCATATTAGAGAAAGAAAGTGTTAAATATTGCCTTTGTACGCATATTAAGCTTTAATGTCGCGCAAGTTAAATGTTAATCGACGCATGTAAAGACGTTTACCACGGACCAAAGTTTCTATACATAAACCAATGCACATTCTGTTTCTGTACTACGCACATTAAGTTTTAATGTAACGCACGTTAAAAGTGTAATCAACACATATTAAGAATTAACTGCGCGTGGGTAAAGTAATAATAACACGCACATTAAGCTAGTAGCAGTGATTGTTAAATACAAATCAGTGATAAAAACAAAAACTAGTAATAGCTGGACATTAAATTCAAGTATCTCAACTGTAAAAAGCGTTCTGAAATGAGTTAACTAAGTAGTTGTGTTTCATATTTGCTATCCATTTTCGTTCTCGACTGTAAAGGCGTTGAAATAATAGTCTGCTATGCCTTTTTCTTACCCTTTTGCTTGTCCTTATTTTTGGGGTTAAGTGGGCAAGTCCTGGTGTCATGGTGATCTCCTCTAACACCACAAAAATTGCACCTCCTGCCCTCTTCTTTTTCCATTGCCAACTCCTTGCTGCTTTTGATACGCTTGCCGCTGCCCTTGTTCTTTGCATGTTTCGGTGGAAGTATGTTGATCTCTTAAATTTCTGTTGATCCACAATATGATTCTATAACAGTCCTCCTGCTGTGCTGAGGGGACAATTTCTCCCTTCCTGACAGTAGCAGCTGTTTCTGTTCATTAATCACTTGGGAAAATGCAGTCAATTGCTCCATGTTTGAACCTGCCAGATCCATACAATAGTGTATATCAGACCACACATTGTTCAACAACATCTTCTTTTCATCCTTTGGTCCATTCTGATCGTAAATCACACCATCTATTTCAAATGTAGCTTCTAAAGATGCATCCTTAGTCCACCGATTAACCACGTACTTCAGAGGGATCCTTTCAAGGTCTCTAAAGACCACAAATATGTGTCTACACAACAGTCCAACCATCTCAAACATCTTGCAACTGCATTTGGCCTCATGGTCATTTACATTGTGCACCACAGTAAATCTTTTGTTCTTTCCATCCATAATATCATAGTGCAACATTCCACCGTCTTCTCTAACACTCAACACCATACATTTGAAACAGGACGCACATATTTCTTCCTGAACTTGATAGAAAACAATAATGGTGTAGACGATTGAAGCGTGCTTTTCAATCCCCAGAGGCGTCTTCATATCTGGATTGTACCCTTCGTTGTCACTGTTGAGCTTTGCATTTGTGTTACGTTGTGATCGAAGAGCACTATCAAAGTTCATCATGAATTCAACTAGGCTTGATTGGGGACCATTAAAACGGCTGTACGTGTAGTTCTCACTTTCGGAACGAGAAGTTGTCCTGAGTAGTCCTCCCATAAAGACATCTCTAAAATACGCTGGGATCCAATGCTTTCTAGCCTCAAACATAGTTTTAAACTAGTTGTGTTCGACTAAGTTGTACTTTTCCATGAGCTCTCTCCACTGCTTCTCAAAATCAGGAGGTTCCAAAGATGACGTCCAAACGATTGAGTTCAGTTTGTTCCTGAATTCCTCATCCTTGTTCAGCGTAGGACCCACTTTTTCCCCAACTTTACACATGATGTGCCACATGCAATAACGATGCCTGGCTTGCTTGAAAAATGTTGGAATCGCCACTTTCATAGCTGGATCTTGATCGGTGACAATTATTCTTGGTTCCATACCCATTGCCTTTTTAAATTTTTCAAAGAGCCAAACATAAGACTCAATGTCTTCTTTCAACAGTAGTCCAGCACCGAATGTTATACATTTTTTATGGTTATCAACTCCGGTGAAGGGTGTAAAAACCAGATCGTACCTACAAGACAAAAAGCGTCATCACAGTATGCAGGTGTCAAACTGCCGCACTTAGAGAATTATAGTAACGCACATTAAGTATTAAAATAGCACATGTATGTAATTGAGGTGTAATTCTGGAAATTCCGCATTAATATGCGAGACAGAAGCGTTTAAGATGCGTGGTATAAAACGACAATGTGCGCTTATTTGTATTTCAATTCTTTTCCAATAAAACAGTGAACATGTCTAAATCTTAACATGTCTCAACAGATCAGGCAATGCTAAATGTGTATTAATTAATGAAACATACGAAAGAACGTGAATAGAATAGTATATACCTATTTGTTGAGTACGTGGCATCAAAAGAGACAACATCTCCAAATGCAGCAAAATTCTTTTTTGACATTGGATCTGCCCAAAACAGTCTGCTCATCTGCTCATCTTCATCAACCTCGTAGTCAAAAGCAAATGCAGGGCACATCTCTTGTTTCTTAATAAGATTATGCACCAGTATTTGTGCATCAGCTCCCAATATGTATGCTCTGAGATCCCTTCTGACATTTTTAAAGTCCACTACAGTTGCTCCGACTTCAGAGTAATCCCCCACAATATGACTGTTTAAACCGTGTGATTTTGATGCTCCAATATTTGTTTTAGCGCAGTCGAGTATAAACTTCTGGTGAACACTGGATATGTTTCTATTTCCCTTTAGAAACTGCCTTGCCAGAACCGAAGACATGTTGTGATTATGTTTTTCAATAAAAGTGGTAACTTGGTACCCAGCTGCTCCAATGTACTTAAACATAATCCTGGCTCTGCAACCAGTTCTGTTTGAAACCCTTCGCCGCTTTGGACGGGAAGGACCTTCCCCTGCATCTGCACTTGACTGCGAGTGACAATGTTGAGCTCCTGTATTCTTAAATCCTTCTCTGTTGCAAACGATTTGCTTTTGAGTTTTTGTCCCGTCACGTGCTGTAATGACGGAACTAGACCTCGTGTCAAACCCGACTTTCGCAGCATAATGAGTGCAGAATTCAATACCAGCATCCAATGTTTTAAAAATCATGTCTACTGCTGGTCTGATTTCGTCTTCACAATGAGGAGTCCAATACTGTGTCATTCCAGGAGATATGGTTAATGTATGACTATTGCTGCTGCGGCTGGGACTCAAACTGGGGTTGTTGGTAGATTGAATGTCAATGGGAACTGTAAGATATAAAGCATGAAGTTATGATCGTGTTGTTGCAAGCCTCTACGTGCGTAATGTGAACACTTAATATGCGTTAAGTTAATCAGATCATTGTCAATATGGCAGATTTATAAAATACAAGAGTAGGTGCGACAAGTGAGAAATTAACGTGCGTCAGGGTAATAGTTAACGTGCACATGTTAAACAGTTAATATGCGTGAGTGTTTGTTAAAATATTATGTCATTACTTAACGCGCGTCAGAGAGTCCAGTAACATAACATGCGTCTGGAAAGGAATTAATGTGCGTGTGCTCAACGGATAACATGTGTGAGGAAAACAGTAATATGTGCATTTTTAAAAATGATGCGGCTACACATATCATCTACGTGCGTAAGGCTCTAGGCTCGGATTAATTTAAAGTAGCTCAGTAATTCGGTGGTTAAGTTGCATGCTTAATGTGCGTGTAATTAAGACAAGAATGATGCCAATACAAATGCAGATAAAATTAATTCCAGAAAAGCGATAGAATTTGGGTAATACCTCGATCGAATTCTTCCATTGTTCTTCGGGTGACGTTTTTGATGGGTTTAGGGTTTATTTTGACGAATATGATATTGAACGACGAAGAGAATAGATCTTATTGCCAATTTCGTAGAGATCGTAAATTCGTCTGAGATTAGGAAATATAGAAGATTAGGAATCAATGGTGAATTTTGAAAACGCTCGAAGAAGAAGAACAGATTTTTTTTTTTAATATAATCAAAAGGACAAAAATGCCCTTAATGAGCAATTCGCGCTTAATTTTTCCTATTAATCTGATTCGTTCGATCAAGAGCTACGTGGGGCTCAGATTTAACCTCATTATACACGGGAAGGAGTAAATGCACGGGAGCCCTTCCATATATATATATATATATATATATATATATATATATATATATATATATATATATATATCAAAATTGAAAACTTATATATTATAATAATAACAAAACGTTCCGGGACACCCTCTTGGTTAGGGTGTTGCGGAATGTTTTTATTATTATTATTATTATTATTATTATTATTATTATTATTATTATGATTATTATTATTATTGTTATTATTATTATTATTATTATTATTATTATTATTATTATTATTATTATTATTATTATTATTATAATACTTTTCGCGGCACCGCTCCCCGACAGGGTGCCGCGGAAGTTATATATTATAATAATAATATAACATTCCGCGGCTCCCACCCCTGAGGGCACCGCAGAAAATCACTAAAAAAAAAAACCCCAAATCGCAAATCAAATTTGAAGCTTTCATTCACGACAAAAAAAATAAATAAATAAATAAAAAACCCTCCTCCGTCTGCGTGCCTCGCCTCTATTCGCCACGCCTCCGTTCGCCTGGCCTCACCTCCGTCCAGCTCCCGCCCCGCCAAGTTTTTCATTCGAAAATAGAAAATATATTCATGAGCATATATTAATCATATTATCTTATAAGTTATAAAATATATGTGAAATCCAATTGTTTTATATTCTTTTAGCTACACAAATTATCTTGACAAATGACAATGCTTATGATATTCATTCATATTTAGTTTGTGTTTGTCCCGGGGAGTTAAAAGTCTAAAAGGGTTGGGGTTGAATAGACTATTAAATTTTAACTTATTATTTGTTGTTAAAACCACTAGCATCAAATTTTTGGCGCCGTTGTCGGGGAGATTAGTAGATTGGTTCAAACAGTTGCATGACTTTCTTATTTTTGTGGGTTTCTAGTCTTCTAAAACTGATGTTTCATTGTTTTACTATTCGGTGGAGTCGGTTGGGGACTCCAGGGTGTTTTTATTTGTTTATGTTTGATGATATAATTTTGATGAGTAATTATATTATTGTACTGGATACTTTGCTTGGTCGGCTCTTGTCTGCGTTTAAGATCCGTGACTTGGGGTCACCGCGGTCTTTTCTTGGTATCGAGACTGTTCTTGTTGACGGGGGGTGGTTCTTTCTCAACGCAAGTACATGGGAGACATTCTGAAGCAAGCTGGCATGTCTGATTGCAAACCACATGCTACTCCGGCCTCGATTTTTCGGGTTGAGTCTTCTGATGAGCTGTATGAAAATCCTACTCAGTATCGCAGTCTAGCAGGTGCCTTGCAGTATCTTACTATTACCCGGCCAGATTTATCTTATGCGGTAAATCATTCTGTCAGTTCATGCACGTACTCTCCTACAGTTGGTCATTGGGAGCTTCTAAAGCGCATCTTGCGTTATTTCAAGGCTACTGTTTCTTTGGGTTATGGTTAGTTGCTTCTTCATCTACTGATCTTCATGTCTTCTCAGATTCGGACTGGGCTGGCTGTTCTGTCGATAGGAAGTCTACCAGTGGTTTTGCAGTGTTTTGTGTTTTGAATTTGGTGTCGTGGGTCTGTCACAAGCAGAGAACGGTTGCTCGGTTGTGTATTGAGGCTGAGTACAAGGCGCTTGCAGATGTTTCGGCGGAGGTTACTTGGATTGTGTCATTATTACAAGAGATTGGTTTTCCTCCTGGCGCTACGCCGCGCTTGTGGTGTGATAATCTTGGTGCGACGTATCTTTGTGCTAATCCCGTGTTTCATGCGAGGACGAAGGACGTTGAGATCAATTTTTACTTTGTCCAGGACAAGGTGGCTTCTGGGGAGCTGCAGGTTAGTTTTATTTCCACCAAAGACTAGTTGGTTGATATCTTCACCAAACCACTGCCGGCTCCGCGTTTTGAGTTTCTACGTAAAATGCTTAATATCGTGTCTCTCCCATCTTGAGCTTGGGGGGTGTATTAGGACTTTAGTGGAATACTCCTAGTAGGATTCTTATTGTCTTTGAGTTATTTATCAATTGGTTGTATTATTATTATTATCGATATACAATAAATACTATTTCCAGAAAACCTACTCTCATCTGCCCTATATTGCTATGTCTTTTAATTTCCTGCAATCGGGAATGATACATCTATTCATGCCATGGTAACTCTGGTTTGACAATCATATCATACTTTTCTATTTCAAATTAAACATTAATTCAAAATTTAATCTAATTGACATTAAAAGTAATATGATTAATAACATACAATAAAAACCTTGGGAACCTGTATTTATTTTATAACAACCAAATCTAAAAAAAATGAGAAATTCAACATATTAAACAAATTAATATTCTTTAGCATGCCCTTCAAACCAAAGCATATGAATGTTATAAGTTTCCAAGTAAACAAAACATGTAGCCAATTGTTGTTAATTTGCGATGAATGAAAGCTAATAGCAAGCACAAACATTGTCGAGTGATGAGATGAAGAACTCAGGTGGGAAAGAATATGGCAGTATGCATTGAAAGGAGAAGAAGAAGATACAACTTAGATTATTCTGGTAGAGGAAGAATACAAGTAAAGAAGCTAAGGCGGTAAAAACCGTTACAACTGATTCTTGGAATAGTAAAGAAATCTACCCTTGATTTGTCTACAACTTCATGGTCTTTATTGTCTAATACCCCCCCCCCCCTAAAGTTGGCGCGTGTAAGTCTTGCGTGCCCAACTTAGACTTGAAAATCTGAAACAATGGAGCAGAGAGAGGCTTAGTAAATCCATCGGCTATTTGATTTGCAGAAGAGACAAACAGAAGTTTGATTAGCCCTTGCTATAGCTTTTCCCGGACAATGTGGAAATCGATATCGATATGCCTCGTGCGCTCTTGGAACACATGGTTCTCGGCTATTGCTATAGCCGATTTGTTATCACAGTATATATTCGCTGGTTTTATCATTTCAACCTGTAAATCTGCATGAAGTAGATAGGTAAGCCACTAGACTTCACAAACTGTGGAAGCCAATGCATGGTATTCCGCTTCCGATGATGATTTTAAAACCGTGGCCTATTTCTTGGATCTCCATGAGATCAGTGCTTCTCCTAGGAAGGCACAATACCCTGTGATTGATTTTCGAGTCTCAAAGCATTTGTCCCAATCTGAATCCGAGAAAACTTGGAGCTGTAAATTTGTGTTACATGGATAGAAAAGACCTTGTCCAGTAGAGGCTTTGATATATCTCAAGAGTCTATGTGTCGCTGATAGGTGTTTGTCCGTCGGTGCATCAACAAATTGGCTTAGTTGTTGCACGGCGTAAGCTATGTCGGGCCTTGTGGCAGTGAGGTATAACATTCTGCCTACCAAACGCCTATAGCTACTGGGATCAGCAATGGGAATTCCATCAATGTGAGCTAATGTCAAGCCTTGCGTCATTGGTGAACATGCAGGCTTGCATCCGAGAAATCTAGTTTCATCTAGTATTTCCAGAGCGTACTTTCGTTGACAAATGTTTAGACCATCAACTGAATATTTTGCTTCAATTCCCAGGAAGTAACTTAGACAGCCTAGATCCTTAATTTTGAAAGTGCTATCCATAAATTGCTTGAGCTCTTGTATTAAGTCTAGCTGGGCACTGACCACTATAATGTTGTCAACGTACACTAACAGAGCAATAAATTTTGTTGCAGTTCCCTTTGTAAACAGAGGTGGATCGGATTTTGATTGAGTGAATCCAATGTGAAGTAATGCTGCATTCAACTTGGAATTCCATTGTCTGCTCGCTTGTTTATGACCATATAGGGATCTAAGCAATCTACAGACTTGGTGTGGTTTCTCAGCTTGGAATCCGGGAGGTAGAGCCATGTACACATCTTCATTCAAATCTCCGTGCAAGAAGGCATTGTTGACGTCCATTTGGAAAATATGCCAAGCCCTAGAAGCAGAAACGCTTAGAAACGTCCGGATTGTGGTTATCCTTGCCACTGGTGAGAAGGTTTCAACGTAATCCACACGAAGTTGTTGTGTGTAACCCTTGGCTACAAGCCTTGCCTTGTGCCTCTCTATTGTACCGTCTGCTTTCAGCTTAGTTTTATACACCCACTTGCATCCGATAGGTGTCTTTCCCGAAGGCAAATCACTTAGTTCCCATGTGTTGTTTTCTTGTAGAGCTGTGATTTCCGCATCCATTGCCTTTCTCCAGCAAGGGTGTTTGATGGCTTGGTTGTAAGTCCTAGGCTCATCCACAGCAGCAGTAGCCATTGATAAAACTTTGTGATGTGGAGTAAGGCCATTGTAAGAAACGACCTTAGAAAGAACATGAGGTGTCCCATCTTTTGCTACTGCTTCACAGTAATAATCGTGTAGCTTGCATGAGACTTGCCTTTGTCTGCTTGATCGTCTGAGGCATATAGGATGATCCGGTTGGCTTTCTCTATTATCTGTGTTACTGGCTGTTATGGGCTCGGGAATCTGTGAACGCGTCACTGGGCGAGACGAGGGAACGGTTGCTCTTGATTTCCCTATGGTTGTAGAGACAGCGAAGAAAACAAGAAAAAACAGGAATAGATTGAAGAGTTTTAGATATCTTCCTCTCCCAAATGTCATAAGACAATTTTCCAAAATTCAAATTCAAATTTGATGCCTCCCTTCAGTCTTTCTAAGGATATATATACTGAAGGCTTAACGGTACTTAACATTCATATCCTAAAAAATAGGAACTAAAAAAACAACTTGGAAATCTGAATAAAAATAAATAGGAAAGAAATTACTATAAATAGCTTGGCTTCTTATTCTTTTGTTTACTGCTTCCTTATTGTTGCTTGCGATGTCTGCGCATGTGGTAAGTTTTTCCTATGAATGCATCCCTGGCATTTTCATATGGAGATCCTGGAGATGTGTTGTTGTCTCCTGGTGTAGGTTGGACAGTATTGCTTGAATTGTTGTTGACATTCACTGGCTCAAGATATAAGGGAGCTTGCATAGGATTACTGTTATTGTCTGCTGCTTCATGGTTCATACTACCATTGTCAGCTTGAAGAGAGCTCATGTTCAACTCTTGAATGTTAAACTCCTCACAATTAGATATAGGAATGATTGGCAGAGATGGTCCACACACAGATGGTGGATCAATAACAATATTAAGATTTTCATTGCCGAAAGGAAATTGTGTTTCGTAAAACACCACATCACAGGAGGTAAATATCAATTTTTCATGCAGGTCATAGATCAAATAACCTTTTGTATTTGCATGAAAGCCAACAAAAATACCTTTTCTGCCTCGTGCAGTCATTTTGTGCCTTGATTGAGATGGAGTAGATGTTGCTAAGGTCAGGGATCTTCTTGTGTAGACGCTGATAAGGGCTTTTCCATTCAATAACTAGATACGGTAATCAGATGATCAAATATGCATCATGGAGCACACATTGCCCTCAGCATCGGCTTTTCCAAGGGAAGGTTTGCTTGAAAGCGAATGACCCTTGCTACACTTAATATGTGCTGATGTTTGCGTTCAACTACCGCATTTTGCTGAGGCATATTTACACACGATCGGTGGTGGACAATGCCATGCTCATCAAAGAAGTTCACCATGTTAGACTCTTTCCCGTTATCACTGCGTATGGCCTTGATTGATAGACAAAACTGAGTGTGAATAAACTTGTGAAATTTCTTAACCAATTCTTGTGTTCCAGACTTGGCCCTCTTCAAATGCAACCATGTATACCTTGAATGATCATCTACAATGGTTAGAAAATAGCGTTCTCCCCCCAATGACTTTACCATGAAGGGCCCCCAAATATCTATATATATAAGATCAAAACACGCATTTGACATAGTTTTGCTTATAGGGAAGGGGGATCTATTGTGTTTGGCAAGGTGACAAACTTCACAAGATATACTCTTAGTATTAGAAACAGAAAATTTTTGCTGGTGTTGCATCTTTTTAACGGGAAAGTGTCCCAATCTTTGATGCCAAACATCAATATTACAAGAAATAGTAGAGGTATTGCAAGATTTTCTATCATTTCCTAGGGGTTCAAGCAGCAAGTATAAGCCTTTTTGTTCTCTAGCAAAACCAGTCATCTTCCCATGTTTCTCCCGACGAAGGCAATGATCAGAGGCAAAGATTAAGTCATAAGGTGAATCTTGAAGAAATTTAGTAACAAACAGTATGTTCAACTGAAAGGTAGGAATATGTAGAACATTTTTCAACCACAATCCATCTCTGATCTTAATATTCCCCACATGTTCCACTACAATGTGTCCTCCATGTGGCAAATTAACCACTGCTCCTTTAATAACATGATATTCATTCAAAAAAAATCTAAAGAACATGCTACGTGATCTGTAGCACCCGAATCTAATATCCATACAGAGGGATCCAATGTAATTGAATTAACACGAGTATTGGTTAAGCATCTACCTTCATTTTGAGAGTCTTACTTGTCGAACACAGGCATGAGAGGAAACAGCTGCAACGGTGGAAGCTTTGTTTTAGCCTATTTCTGTCTGTAATAGAGAAATAAGCTTTTGAATCTGGTCAGATGGAACATTGTCATCGCTACTTGTAGATGCTCCCATTATCTGCTGTTTTCCCTTCGACTTGAAGCCTGGCACCCAGCCGGGGGATAACTCTGCTTTTTATAGCACTTCTCCACAGTGTGGCCATTCATGCCACAAAACGTACATTTGGCAGTCTTGTTTGTACTGCCATTATTCATGTTTCTTCTACCATTGAAGTAATTGACTGCAGCTACCACATCTTTATTGATCGTCTGTGTAGATTGCATAGCATTTGCATGACTTATCTCCAAAGCATTCATGTTTGCAGTGTTCATCTGTATCTCATACTTTTCAGCCATAACAAATACCCTGTGAATATCTGGCAGAGAATCTAAAACCAGAACATTAGATTTTAGAGAATTATATTCATCACTTAAGCCTTGGAGGAACCTGATGATGCAATCTACGTCTCGTTCGTTCTTGATTTCCTCAATTAAATCACAGGAACATCTTGGATTGCACTTACACATTGGAATTGGCCTTAGTTCATTCATCTGTTCCCAAAGAGCCCTACATTTAGTGTAATATTCATTCACCGAGAGATTTCCCTGCCTTAAACTGTAGATCTCGTTTTGTAAGGTTGAGATGCGATGTGCGTCTAGCTGAGCGAATCTTTTCTTCAAATCATTCCAGACTTCCGTAGCCCTATCCATATACATGATACTCTGTACGATGGAAGGATGAACCGACTTGCAAATCCATGAGCAAATCATGAAATTGGCGGCGTATTGGCTGTGTGATCTGTCTTGCGCCATGAGTATATCATGTAGGGGATCATGTCGGGGAACATATTGTGACTTTTTGCAGTGATTTAAGGAGAAAAACAAGCAGGAAAGGAGAACCACGGCTGGTTCGAATGAAGCAGGTAGCGGCGGTTCCGGCAGCTCATCATTGGACACGGCAGGAATAGGTGTGCTGTGACTGAGAACAGATTCCGCCCAAGGTCCAGAAAACGGAGTAGATAGATCCTGCAAAGAAGTTTTAGTAGCAAAGGGGAAAACTTCTTCATCAAATCTGACATGCCTGCATGTGTAAATCTTATTAGTATGTAAGTCCATGCATCTGTACCCCCTAAAGGACTCAGGATAACCTAGGAAGACACATGGAGAAGACCTGTATGACATCTTATGACGATTATATGGTCGAAGATGAGGGTAGCATAAACACCCAAAGACACGAAGAAAAAGATAGGAAGGAGGGGATTTATGTAACAGGAGATGAGGACTGGAGTTATTTAATACAGAAGATGGCATTCTGTTAATTAAATAGATAGCAGTCTCAAAGGCAAAATCCCAAAATTTCAAAGGAACAGAGGCATGAGCTAGAAGAGCCAGACCAGTTTCAACAATGTGACGATGTTTTCGTTCAACACGACCATTCTGTTCATGTGTATAGGCACAGGATTGTCTATGTTGAATTCCTAATTGAACAAACAAAGAATGCAACTTTTTGTACTCAGCACCTAAATCAGACTGAATGGCCTTTATTTTGCAATTAAAGGACCGTTCAACAAGAGTACGAAATTTATCAAAGATGACATAAAGATCAGACTTTAATTTCATAGGAAAGAACCATGTATAACGGGAATAGTCATCCACAAAGATCACAAATAACGGAAGCCAGAAGTAGATAAAGTGCGCGCAGGACCCCAAATGTCTGTGTAAATAAGATCTAGGACTTGAGAACTAGAGGAAGCAACACGGGAGAGGGGAAAACGGGCAGATTTGCCTAATTGACACGCATTGCATAAAGAATTATGACAACGAATATTATCACGAGACCCACTAACCAAACAAGAACGAAGTATATGGCTAAGAACACGGTTATGAGAATGACCTAGACGATTGTGCCAAGTGGAAGCCGAGGCATGAGCGGAAATAAACGCTGACGGAGACGAACTAGGTAATGAAAGTGTGTATAGTCCCCCCGAACTATTGCCCCGAAGAAGTATTTCCTTGGTATTGATATCTTTTACAACAAAAAAGGAGGGGTGAAACTCAAAAAAAACTTTGTTATCGGATGCAAACTTCTGAACAGATAATAAAGAATTAGACAAACGCGGAACGTGAAGTATATCAGACAATGTAAATGATCTAGAAGGGGTATTAAAAGAGGCATGGCCAACATGACTAATAGATAAACCCATACCGTCACCGACACGTAAAGTGTCATTACCAGTGTACTTCTCCAATGTAGAAAGAGCAGCGACGTTCGGAGTTGCATGATTTGTGGCTCCAGTGTCCGGAACCCAAGTATGAGAATTTGACGAGGTTTTAGCAACTAAACCATTCTGAAACACCAAATTAGCCTGAGAACCCGGAGCCCCTGAATATCGCCAAAAACAGTTGACTCCCGTGTGACCGAAACTTTTGCAAATTTGACACGGATCATTATAGCGCCAAAAACAATTGGCTCCCGTGTGACCAAAACGTTTACAAATTTGACACGGATCATCATAGCGCCAAAAACAATTGGCTCCCGTGTGACCAAAATGTTTACAAATTTGACACGGATCATCATAGCGCCAAAAACAATTGACTCCTGTGTGGCCGAAAACTTTACAGATTTGACACGGATCATCGAAGCCACGTTGCTGACCTCCACGGTAATTAAGGTTGCCATCGCAGCGCTGCATCTTCTTAATTTTATGAATCACAAAACCCTAGCTAACTGATACCAGATGAGAACTGATTGTATTATATTTTCTGAACTTAATTACAATGAGATCAGATGATGTGAATATATAGAATAGAGAGTCACAGTGTGACAATGATAAGAAGTAGAGAGTCATAGTGTGACAAGGATAAGAAGTTCTAAACAGACTCATACACATAGAGTCCTAATACACAACAAGATGCACAAAAACTTCATTAATATTTTTTCACATTTGAAATTGAATAATGCTATGTAGACAAATTTAGAAATAAAAAATCATGGTCATGTTTGGTAAAATGACTGTTAGCTGATAGTTGTTAGCTGATTGTGTTAATTAGAGGGTATAAATAGTTGATAAAATTAGCTGATTGTAGAAAAGTGTTTTGTAAATTAGCTATTAGCTGATAGCTGTTTGGTATAATTTCTTTTCTCAAAAAGCTAATTGAAAAAGTTACTTGGAGTAACTTTTTGAATTTTAGCCTTTTGGAGTTGCAAAAATCTAATTAACCAAACATTTATATTGAGATTTTAACTAAATCAAACAATTAATAGTGGGCTTTCAAAAAAAAAAAAAACAATTAATAGTGGTCAAATAAGCTAAAATTGACCTATAAACCAATTTTTTACCAAATAGGACCCATATGTTTTATTGTTGTTATGATTTTTTTTCTTATTTTGGAGAACCGGTACATCATATTGATGTACTGGCATTTATTTGTATTTGTATTACCTTAAAAAAATGGCGACTTCTTTTCGCTCGTGTACAAAAAAATACAATCCCATGGGCACCAGTTCATCAATCATTATTGTGTGGACCATGGTCCATACAAGTTATGTGGACCATATTTTGTATACTATAAAATAATGTACATTTAGTACAAAAATAATGTACATTCAGCACAAAAATAATGTACATTGTATTCAGGGAATGTACATTATTTTTGTACTGAGTGTACATTATATTGTATAATGTACATTCAGTATAAAAATAATGTACATTTAATATATTTAAAATGTAATTTTTGTTATGATTCACATAACACTGTGTGGACCATGGTCCACACAATCATTTGCCCCAATTCATCATTGGAAATCACATGGGCCGATATAAATTATGTAAGGAAAATTCTATTTGCACCACCCTATTTGCTATTTACACCACTTATTTAATAGGTGTAATAATAATTTTATAGGTGGTGTAAATATAAAAAGTGCTATTTGCACCACCTCATTAAATGTAATCAAACATTAATATTTATTATTTATTTCACTTTTCAGTTTTTTTTTTTTCTCATATTTCCCATTTTCTCTTTCTATTACCTCTTGAGAAAGTAAACTTTTGCAGCACATGATGAAGTAATGGAAGACACTCTATACAACAAAATTAAACTTTATATAATTTGATGAATCATTCTTATTTTCTTTGTATCAAAAAATGTTATTTATAATATTTTTAAAGTAATTCGGTTCGACTCATTTTTTTTTTAAGTAATTATGTTCAACTCATTTTTAGTCATCAGTATATAATACCCATGTGAACAATATAAAATTAAATATCTTTCTAATAAGTAATAAGGATGCCTATTTGTATAACTAAGGATAAGTTTTAATGGCTACATACTTCAATACCGCACATAATGACTCATATGCTTCCCAAATAGAGTTCGTAACGGTTACAACAGTTGTAACGGATATTAATTGACCACGTTTCTCCGACCTCATATGTTGACTTGAACTGTAACCCAACGCTCCTAGGCCCACCCCGGGGTCGGCATCCTTGCCATAGATTTGAGTTTCTTCGACTTAAAACTATTCAATCGGGTCCAATATATACATTCATATTGAAAATATAATTTTATATTAGGACTCTCATGATGTTGTTAGCTAGTGCCATGTTTTCAATATATTTGCCCACGTGCGATGCACGGCATAAAATTTAACTTATTGTTGATAATGTTTGAAAGAACAATGAAATCAAACATGAATCATGAAAATTCATCCTGGAATATGTTTTTCTTTTATAATATTAAATTGGTTGTTATATTAAATAGATTTCAAAAGTTATTTATACATGAAATAATAACTTCTAAAGGTTGCATCTAATTTTTGAATTTGATGAATATATAAATTTATATAGTTATTATGTCATTTTTTTAAAAATTAAATTGAAAAAAAAGCACAAAAATATATATATTTATACGTTAATTAATACGAAGTAAATTTTAATATTTTCATATAATTTGTTGAATTAATAAATTCAAAAAAATATCAACATTTTTGTGGACTCTTGTTTAGATTAGCCAAAAATATCACCAGAGAAGGCGCTGCTGGACTTTAATACATTTAATAACCAACTATAAAGAAATGAAAATAAGTAATTGCATGTCAAGATGATAATATATTAACAAGTAAATTTAAAATGAGAACATCGCATCACTCTTAATATAGAACTTGATCGCTTATCATGAAATAGTAAAAATCCAATAAAGTAACCATAATAAGTCATATAATGTATATTAGGAAAAAATATTCGTCACAAGGTGTAACATTACTGTAAAAAAATACAATCAATAATTTATTCAATTTTCCACATATTTGTAGCCCTATAAATATCATATCATCTCAGCATGTATACACGCGCGCGCGCGCACACACACACACACACACACACACACACACATATATATATATATATCATGGCAAAACGGAGATTAAGATTGGCATATATTATGAATCAATCAAAAAGAAAAACATCCTACCAAAAAAGAAAGAGAGGGGTGCTCAAAAAGCTTAATGAGCTCACCGTTCTCTGCGCTGCGGAGCGGATGCTTCCATGATAATGTATAGTTCGTTTGAGCAAGGGACTCAAGAGCTGATTGGTAGGTTCATTAACTTGTCGGGATGTTGTTTTGTTTTTTCCAGTTCAATTAATAATAAAATAAGATGTCCTATTTCGTTAAGAAAACATGGGTGTAAAATTGAGTTGCAGAAAATCCTTCTCAGAATATATAAATATTAAAGATCAAAGTTCATATCCCTTTGCATTGACAAATTTGAGGTGCACAAAATCCTTCATTCCTAAAATACATAATAAATATAT